CATTCTATTTTTCCTTCTGAAACAGACAACTTCACATTTGTCCATCTTGTACTACATCTGCTGTGTATCTGTCTGCACACTCAACTTGTTTAAATTGCTCTAAAGCCTCTTTACATTCTCATCCCTACATAATGTTGTCATTAGCAAACTTGGAATTATTACACTGTCATCCAAATCACTGATTATATATTGTGAATAGCTGGGGCTCAGGAACTGATCCCGGCAATATCCTACTTGTCACCGCCTTCTGAAAATGATCCATTTATTCCCAGTCTCCAATTTCTATCTGCTAAAAAATTGACAGTTCATGCCGGTATATTGCCAGCAATCCCATGTGTTTTGATTTTGTACAAAAATTTCTTGCATGGGACTTTATCAAAAAGCCTCTGAAAATCCAAATTCATCACATCAACTGGTTCTCCCTCATCTATTTTGCTGGTTATGTCCTCAAACAAAAACTCCAGTAGATTTGTCAAACACTATTTCCCTTTCTTTAACCCATGTTGACTTTATGTTTTCTCCAAGGTAGGTTTTAAGTGTCATTATCACATCCTAATAGACTCCAACATTTTCCCTTCTTCTGAGGTTAGGCTAGCCATACTGCAATTCCTGGTTTTTGTCCTTTTTTTTTAGAAAGCATGGGTATTGTATATACCACCTCTCAATCTGCTGTAACTGCTCCAGAATTTTGAAAGATGGCAACCAACAGCTGCATCATTTCAGTGACCATCTCCTTTAGTACCCTGGAATGTGGATCATCAGGGCCAGGGGATTTATCAGCTTTCAGTTCTGTTAATTTCTCCAGCATTATTTTTTCTACTAATACAAAATTCATTCAACTCCCCCTTTCCCAATACCCACTTACTTACCCAGCACTTCTGGGAAGTTTTTGTTATCTTTTGTGAAGACAGGACAAAATGGTTTAATTTCTTTGCCATTTCCTCATTCTATGTTAGTAACGTTTCTGTTTCAAACTAAAGGATTTACATTTGTCTTCACGAAGCTCTTTCTTTTTGCATACCTCTAGAAATTTTACAGTCTGCTTTTACATTCTTTGCAAGTTTGAAGTCGGGCTCAGTTTATATCTTTTAATCAACGACTGCTCCTCTCTCGCTGAATTCTAAACTGCTCCCAGTCATCAGGCTGGCTACTTTTTCTACAAATTTATCATCAACGGATCCCATCCCAATTCCTTTGTTGACCATAGTTTTGTCAACTTTTCTATTTTTCACCTGAAAAATGTTTAACTGCAATTTATGCATTTGTTTCTTAGAGATGACTCAGTTAATATACAAAATATCATTGAATCCATTGTTTAGATTTAGGACTCTAGATACAGATTAGATTACTCCACTTGGTACCCCAATGAAGAATTCTATCATGTTATCACTTTGTGCTAAAGGAACTGTCTCAATAAGATTTAATTTAAAAAAAATTATAGTCTGCCCCTGACTTGGCTGCTCAATAAATTGGTATAAAAATCATGCTTCAGAAATAAATCTGCCACAGTATTATTGCTAATGTGATTCACCCAGTTTATATGTACGTTAGAATTGCTGATGATTACTGTAGCACCCTTATTGTGTGCGTCTCTAATTTCCTGTTTAATTCCACCCTCTACCTCACCGCTACCAGTACTGTTTGGAGGTCTATAGGTAACTCCCACTAATATTTTCATCCTTGTTGCTGCTCAGATTCAGACTGATTCCAAATGTATATTTCCTGCACAATGATCCTTTCTCACTATTGCGCTGATTTTATCTTTCACTCTCAGTGCCATCCCACATTCTTTTAAATTGTGACTGTTCTTCCTAAAGATTGAACACCTTAAATTCTTCAGTTCCCAAACTTAGTTGTCCCATAGCCTTGTCTCCAAACCCACAACTCTTGTACAACTATTGGTGCCTTTAATTCGTCTATCTTTTGCAAATTCTCCATGCATTCTGATATAATATCTATAGACGTTATTTGACATTTTGTTTGTACTTGAGTCCTATTTGCTGCTCCCCTTGTTTCCTTTGTCTTCCACTTTTGCTTTCCACTTTCCTATTTTTCATGTCCATCTTTGCCTCACACTCTTGTCTTCCTGCTGAAGCCCCCACACAAACGCTCAGGTTTGAAGTCCCAAACTTCCCTGTCAGGGTATTGGCCCTGGTCCTACTGGGGTACAACCCGTCCAGCTTGTACGGGTCACATCTTCCCCAGAATTGGTCCCAATGCCTCAAGAATCTAAATCCATCCCTCCAGCCACGCATTTTGTTCAGTGTATTCTTCTATTCTCTTATGAACATGTGACTTGGGAAGTAATCCTGAGATTACGACCTTTTTTTTGAGGTTGTTGATTTCCGAGCTCCTTTATAGTTCTTACAATACATCTGAACAAGTTGATTGAAACATGTCCAGGGCAAATGGAACTTGAACTAGGGCCTCTGAACTCTGAGGAAGCGACACTACCACTGTGCTACCTGTGCCCTCTCCTAACACTCTATGTGCTACTTGTCAGATTTTGTTTTCATTTTACTTGCACAAGCATAAACCATGACGTATTCAAGTTCTCCCACCCCCTTCAGAATGTTCTGCATCAACTCAGTGACATCCTTGACCTTGGCACCAGGGGGCAATATTACCATCTCACTTTTCCTTACAACAGAATACCCTTTCACTGTTGTGTTCTCACGCTTTGCTTCTCCCACACATACATTGTACCAGACAACATCCTGCTGCCATGGATTTGACTCTTGCTGCATTTCCCAGGGGGGAGTCCATCTCCCCCAGCAGTACCCAAAGTAGAAAATCCATTAGGGAGAGGTGGCACCAGGGAACTCCAACACTACCTGAGGGTGCGTCTACTCTGTCTAGTGATCACCCATTCCCTTTCCACCCGTCACTCTTTATCTGTGGTGTGACCACCATATGGTCCATGCTATTGACAAAGATCTCAGCCTTTATGTTTACGCCATAGTGACTCCAGTTGCTGATCCAGATCTGAAATGTGGCAGCTGGATACAATTCTTACATGTGTGCTTACCGTGGACCCTGTTTTCCCATATTGCACAGGAAGTGCATTTCCACATGTCAAAGATGGCTTACCCTTAAGTTACTCTTTTTTTACATTTGCTTCCTCTAGTCTAAATAATATTACATATATGCCAGGGCCTTTACCTTATTCCTTATGCTTTATATTGTTTTAATCTAAGTAATCAAATAAACTAATAACCAATTTTTCCTTTAAAGACTGGACAGTAAAAATAATCACCTGGTCTTGCTTACTGAGTTCACCACTTGCATGGCATTGTCTCCCAGTTCGATGTAATGAGCTTGTGTTGTCGCTGCAATGGCTCTCTGTTTATGTTTTACATGTAATGTTTGCTGTGCTTAAATTAGTTTCCATGTTTCCTACATTGAAGCCTGTCAACTTTTAAGGCAAGCGCTCTGTTTCTACTGGTTAGGTATTTACTTCTGTAAGGAACAATGTATAATTCTGATTAATCTGTTTTGTATTTTTTTTGTTCAAGGGGTGTTGTGATTTTAGTTTCATTTTTGGAGTTGTTTTTAGGTATGGCTATTTGCGTACATGCATTTTTAATGGGGTTTTATAACCCTTGAAAAGAAAAGATGAGGGGTGGTATTTATTGCACTAAAGTAAGATAGAAAGAAGATGTGCTGTTGTCCAGCAACAGGTGTCTAAAAACCCTTCCTTTGAAAAGCATGTGGATCCAATGGAGATTTTAAGACTAAGATTACTTGACTTTTGCTGGGAAAAGGGTATGAACCATATTATTGAAAGTTAATGATCTAGAAGAATGACAAGGGAGATTCAAGGAGCTAAATAGCCTACTCGTGTTACTAATAAATCACAACTAAACATTCTTCAGATTGAGAATTTTATAATTCTGGTTTCTGCAATGTTGGTCACCTGATCAGATCACTATCTGCCATGACCCCTTCGTGTATTGACGCACTCCTCTATATCCACACTGAATGGTCTCGGTCATTGTTATTAGTCTTTGGATGCCTTCATTAAAAAGTCTTCAACTGTGTATAGTCATAGTGAAAGAACATGGCAAATATGAGCTGGGGTAGGCCTTTCTGGCCCTTTTCAGCCTGTTTTGCTTTAGAAGATCATAGTTTATCTTCCACGACAGCCCTACAGTCCTGCGTTACCTCCATAGTCCTTCATTTCCTTAGTATCCATAATCTATCCCCCTCATTCTTGAACATACTCAGTAACTGAGAGTCCACAGGGTGGAGAAATTCCAAAGATTCTCAATCCCCTTGGATAGGCAGTGACTTAGCAGCATTATCGCTGGGCTATCAATCCAGAGACTCTGGTTCAAATACTGCCATGGCAGAATTTGAATTCAATAAAACAAAATCTGGAATTAAGAGTCTGATGATGACCATGAAACCAGTGTCGATTGTTGGAAAAATCTATTCGGTTCACTAATGTCCTTGAGGGAAGGAAACTGCCATCCTTAGCTGGTCTGATCTACATGTGACTCCAGACCCATAACAATGTGGTTGACTCTTAACTGCTCTCTAGGGAAATTGAAGATGGATGATAAATGCAGACGTGGTCAACGACATGCACATCTTGTGACTGAATAAAAAAAATTTCTCCACATCTCAGTCCTGTTCACACCTGATACAAACTTACCGTCACCTCTCAGGGTTCCCTCCCAAGTCATGCACCATTGTGAATTTCTTTCGTTGACAATGGGTCAAGATGCTTGAACTACTTCCAAAGAGCAATATGGGTAGTTCAAGAAGGTGACTCACCATGACCATTTCAAAGTGATATTAGGGCTGGTTATAAATGCTACTGTTGCTTGTGATACACACATGCTGAGATTTTTTCAAAAGTCCTGTACTTGCTCTTCTATGGTTAGTATCTGAATCCACTAGCTATGAGCTGTGTTTTGCCTTATGGTTTAAAAGGGTAAATAGCGAATCATTATTCAAATTTGAAGGACTTTTTCTGTTTTGCTTTGCACCTGTAGGTTCCAAAGCTGCTGCAGAATACTCCAATGGAATCTTTGATATTGCCTCACCTATCCCACCAACCTATCTGAGGTCACTGCAGATTTTGCAGCTTGTGGAAGATTTGAGGATCGGCCTGGAGATGTTGGGAAGTGAGCACGAGAGGGAAGAAGTACGAAATCAGATCCCTGCTGCTACTGTGCAGACAGTTGCCAGCTGGCTGGATAATTTCTCTGTGAGTATAAAAAGAATAGTCTGACACAGAGTATGTAGCTTAAAGATGATATCACAGGAAGGATGGTCACCTTGTCTTTGGATCAGCCTTGGTCCAGGAGGTCATGCTTTGTCTCTTCGATTTGTAAGGTCATGGATTCTTGCTTCACTCAACAGATGTGAGTTATAATCCAGGCTAACTTTCCCTGTGCTTCACCAAGTGAGTGCTGCACTATTGGGTGTGCCATATCTCGGATGACATGTTGGGCATTGTTTTCAGCACCTTTTGTTTTTATTTCCATTCAGCAGGTCGGCCAATGTTTGCGCTGAAACAAGCCGAGTTAATGGACTGAACTTCCCCACCCTCCATGGGAGTGACAGGTTTTAGGGTTGGGAAAGGGAACGCCTGAGAAATGCATGCCCTCCTTTTGCTCTGTTTCCCTCAGTGATTTCAGAACTGAGCAGCTCCTCTGAGACCATCTCTGTCATTTTTCTGATTGGCTGAGTATTTCCCGCATTTTCTACCTTATTCGCTAAAACTTCATCAGATCATTTATCTATTGATGATTATGGAATGTTCCTGTGTGAAAGTTGGCATTTACATTTCCCTATATTACAACAATTCAGTAACAAAAAGGTATTTTTCTGAAGAAGGGTCCAGACCCGAAACGTCAGCTTTCCTGCTCCTCTGTTGCTGCCTGGCCTGCTGTGTTTATCCAGCTCTACACCTTGTTATCTCAGACTCCAGCATCGGCAGTTCCTACTCGCTGACCATGAAGCACAGTGGGACTCTAGGAAGCTTAAATTTCACTTGCTGTTGATGCACAGGCCAAAGTTTAAATCAGAATGTTCATTACCTTTGCTATTGACAATTTGCTTCTTGATTGGATAGAACAATGAAACAGTGTATGTCCCCCCCCAAGTCTCCATGCTATGAAGGAAAGAAGAAATAAAGATGCACTTATATAGACTCTTTCACAGCTTCAATGTTCCAAACTAATTTACATCCATTTAAGTATCTTTTTGAAGTGTAGTCACTGTTAATGGTGGCGTGTCATAGTGTGACAGTCAATAATCGTTAAGAATGCTCTCTCAAATTACAGTGATAACCAGACTTTAATGGTGTTGCTTTACCGATTTTAAATGTTGGTCATTCATTTTCTCTTCAAAATTGTCACCATGGTATTTTTACATCTACCTGCGAGAGTGCACAGGCCTTGCTTTACCATCTTGACCGAAAGACAAAACCACAGCACTCCCTCCGTGTTTGTGCATTCTCCAAAGTACAAGAGTCCCTTCTGGAAATGTGATTGGTAATTCACTCGAAGGTTATTGTTCCACTTCGCAACTTAAGAGTTCAGGAACCAAAACTCTGAACTATTGCATAAGACAATTAGCATCGGAAAAGTTATCACATGATAAGCTGTTCCTTGCAAGCTAAAAAGGAGACATTCTGGAGGGTGTTTGTCTGTGTCCTACAAATTCTGCATGTGCCTACTGGAATGTGTATAGCTCTTCAGTGATTGTTCTTAGTGTAGCTAATGTTTACTTAGAATCTTGAGATGGTCAGGATTGATTGGCATTTAATCCATGATATGATCTTAATCAATTACTGAGTAACACGTAGTAAATATATTTACTTTTCATCAAAATTGAGCCTATGCTGCCAAAGAGTTTGTATGGGCATCTTTCCCCACTTGGCATCAGTGGCTTCGATTGATGCCCGCAGAAAGAATTGGAAGCAGTGAATCTAAGTGAGGCATTGTAGATGCTACAGCTCCTGGTGTTTACACTGGTCATTCCTGAGCAAATATTTCATGCATATAGTCGGTAGAATTGAGTTGTTCGAATGGGAATAGGATAAACATTGAAGAGTTCAAACAACTAGTGATCCACGAAGTGCTATGGGCCGTTAGAAACAGCAGCAGAATTTTATTTGGTAACAGTCTATAATTTCATGGCCTGGCGTATCCCAGTTCCACTATACCATCACCAGCAAGCTAAAGAATCAACTTTTAGTTTATTGAAGAGCGCAAGAGGGTACACCAGGTGCAACAGGTAGTCACTCCTAAAAGTAACATCCCAGCCCAGTGAAGTTGCTAAACAGGACTACATGCATGTGTGTGCCAAGTGACAAATTACAAGCTGAGCAATCCCACAACAAACAGATCAAATGAAAGCTCTGAAGTCCTGCCACATTCAGTCTTAACTGTGCATCACTACTTAAACAACTAACAGGATGAGGAGGCTCCACAAGTATTCCCCTCAGGGAGCCCAGCACACCAGTGAAAAAGACCAGCATTTCATAACTACCTTCAATCAGCTGTGTTGAGTGAATGATGCACCTTAGTTTGCAAATTATTGGATTCACACCACATGATAACACCAAAACATTGAAGACACAAGATACTCCGTAGGCTGTTATGGGCTGTTTAGTAGTTACACAACATTGTGAAAAATCTCTCTGGTATGTCATGTTCACAAAAGCAGGATGAATCCAGTCTATCCAATTATTGCCCATGGGTTTACTCTCCATTATTATGATGAATTACATCATAACAGTGCTACCAAATAGTGCATAAACAGATATAGCCTCCCCACTGGTCCTCAGTAAGTCTTGCATCAAAACCACTCCATTCCAGATGTCATTATGGCTATTGTTCAAACATCGGCAAAAGAGCTGAATTCCAGAAATGATATGAGACTGACTGCTCTTGACATCAAAGCAACATTTGACTGACTGTGATGTCAAGGAACCTGAGCAAAATTGGAGTCAATGAGAATCTGGGTTGGGGTAGAATCTCCATTATTTGGAGACATACCTAGCAGAGAAGAAGATGGTGATGGTGGTCATTGTCGTTGGAGGTTTGTCATCTCAGTTCCAGGGCATATCTGCATCTATCTTCAGCTGCTTCATCAATGACCTTCCCTCCTTCACAAGGTCAAAAGTAGGGACTGTCCCTGATAACCGCACAGCAGTCAGTAATGCTTGTATCTACTCAGATGCTGCAAATGGACACAGACTATTTCAGTAAGACCTGCAATAACAATCTGGCTTGGAATAATAAATGACATGCAATATTTTTAGCACACAAGCACCAGGCGGTGGCCTTCTCCAACAAAGGTGATCTCCCTTTGACTATCAACAAAATTCCCCACTGAGTCCTCCAGTGTCAACATCCTGGGAGCTACCTTTGACTAGAAATTGAACAGGACCAGTCTCGTAGATAGAGTCGCTGCAAGAGAAGCTCTGATGCTGGGAATTCTACAGCAAGTGACTTGCCTCCCAGCTTGTCAAAACTTATCACCACCTGCAAGTCAGGAATGTGATTGAATGCCTCCAATTTACCCAGATAAGTTTGATTACACTAATACTTAATACCATCTAGGACGAAGTAAACAACTTTTAAAAAAAAATTTAAAGAATTGTGGATGCTGTAAATCAGAAACAGAAGCGGAAATTGCCAGACTTGCCGAGCTTTTCTAGCAGCATCTGTGGAGAGAAATCAAAGTTAACGTTTTGGGTCTGGTGACTCTTCCTCAGAACTTCCTCTGTTCAAAATATTTAATTGGCACCCCATCCACTGCCTTAAACAGTCACTGCCTGCAGTATTTCACACAATGTGTATTATGTACAAGATAAGGTACAACAATTTGAAAGGACAATGGCAGCAGCTTCATGGGAATGCCACCATTTTTGCAAGTTATTCTCCAAACCCCACATCACCTTTACTTGGAACAGGAGCACTGTTGCTTCATTGTCACTATGTTACCATCTTGGAACTGACTTCCTTTCAGCTGTGTGGGTTTACGTATACCCAACGGACTACGGCAGTTCAATGTGACACAAAGGACACAAAGAGCAATACAACACAGGAACAGGCATTTCGCCCTCCAAGCCTGCACTGACATATTTTGCCCTTCCCACCACCACTTTCTCGAGCTACTACAGTCGAACAGCAAATGCTGGTCTGCAGTGTGGCATTCATCTCACGAAAGAATTTTTTAAAAAAAGTATTGCTAAACCAGAATCCAACATAGGTCAACAATTATAGGGGGTGATGAGTGAATGTGAGTTGATGCGAGTTAAGGTACAGGCAGCAGTGTTCTTGTTGTGGTTAAGCAGCTTGAAAGCCCTTTGGGTTCCCAAAGAGCGTAACATAAACTCGACCTTTTGCGTCTTCTAAATACATCATTTCATTGACAGTTTTCATAAACGGTACTTTTGAGGTCTATACAAGAAGCACGTAAAGCAGTGCATTAAATCCATATCATGCAGTTTTTTTTTCAAATATGATGTGTCCGTCAGTAAAGGATTAAGCTGTGCGATTAAATGCCATTGCCAACCTTCCAGCTTTGCCCAGGAGATTCCAGAGAGAGACAGCTGTGAGCAGGAGTTAAGAGAAGAATTGTGGGCATTTTCTAAAAGCTACGTGTTATTTTGGTTGTATTCCCTGCAAATTATTTTCATTCGGAGGAAAAAGAGGAATTGGAGGTGGAAAAATTAGCAGTGACATTAATCAATCAGGAAGCAGACTGACCCCCACAAGGGCCGTGCAGGTGGGGATCTGCAGGGATGGATTTGTGGGGAACCAATAACTGCTGGCTGGTGGTGTGGCAGGGCAGTTGGAGATGAGTGTAAATTCAGGAATACCACCGGCCAGAATTGACAACCCTTTCTGTGACTGACAGGTTTTAGAGAATTATGTCTGCACCGCCCCCCTGTCTTGCAATTTGTTAAACAAATGGTTAACTACATAGTTTTAAAAAAATGTAATCCAAGCTTTGGCTGATCCTGTAGCTCTGTTTATTTTGTCTGTTCATTTCTAGCACACTCGTGTTTACCCTTTATCCCCTGGGGTCCTGTTACATATGGCATTCTGTAATACTGTGATTGAACGTCTCGATTTCTTAACCTTTGTGGAGTTCAATTGCTTTGCAGCACAACCTTGTCTAACCTTGCTGCCAAACCACAGTCAATATTAAATATGTTGCAAATCTTTCCGTTTAATGGTAAGTTGT